CCAAATGCCAGGCTATATGGCGAGGGCATTTCCAATGCTTTATCGATATGGTCATAGAGATCTTTGTTCAAAATGCGCAAGAGAAATTAAGCTAGCCAAGTATTTCAAACATTTGATATGATACAAAGATGGAAGATTTGCGCAGCACACTCAGTGGAGGTATTTTGCATTAAATTCAACAATAAGATGGAGAGCATTGCATGAAGGAAGAGTCTATATGAAACAGAACTTAAGAGATGAGCAAATCGATGTTAGTAATATAGGAAATGATAGAAAATAATGATAAACAAATGGCTGACTGGATTATGAGATATGGTAAAGGATACGAGAATCATGACAGTTTTGGATGGCACGAAGAAACGAATTGTCAGATCTGATAAAGCAAATCGGACATCAAGGTCTAGTGTTCTTTACTTTTAGCATAGCAGATTTTCATTGGCCTGAATTACACAATCTAATGCCAAAAGGTAGAAATGATGAAAACGAGGTGGAGTCATCCAAACGACGACAACAAAACATCATTGAAAACCCACATATAGCATCCTAGTTCTTTAACAGAAGATTTGAGAATTTTCTTAACGATGTGTTGATACTACAATGGGACCTAGAAGACTGGTAGTACCGATTTGAATGGTAGCATAGGGGGAGTATGCATATACACAGAATCAGAAAAATATGAAACGCATCCATAATAAATTGGCCTCAAATAAAGAAAAGCGAAATAATGATTAAAGACGCGATAAAGTACATAGTATCATTAGTTACAATAATGAACCCTGGAATAAATGCAGAAATACCAGATCGTTATCCATGCCAAAAATGACAAGATGAAATAGAGAACAATATTTAAGATTACACAGAACTTATTAACAAATTACAAATGCATACGCGATGTAACTTAGCTTATTGTATTTGAACAAACAAATCAGAATAGCAATCGTGCAGATTCAGATATCCCAAGGAATGTAATGACCAAATATCCATATGTGAAGACAAACACAGATAACCGAAACTCATGCTGAAAAGAAACGATTCTTACGTAAATCCTCACAATAGATTACAATTGCAAGGATAGCGAGCAAATGTTGATCTAAAACCAATGTCAAGTATCTATGCGGTATTACAGTATATTTCAAAATACACGAGCAAACTGAGCCTAAATCACTTGCATTCTCAGAGATATTCAACCAGATTCTTAACAACAACAACGGTAACGATTCTTCAATCACATCGATACAAAAGCTACTGCTCAATAGTGTTATGAAAAGAGATATATCAGCCCAAGAAACATATCATTTTAGGCTCAGTATCCCACTATATCGTTCTAGCTGAACATATGTTTCATTAAATCTTAATGATAATGCATCCAGGTGGATTTGTGAAACAGGTAGTAATAAAAACAGCAATGAGTTTGGTTCAATCAACAAAGCAGGACATATATCACAATCACCTTTCAAAAGATACTAAAGAATTCAAAGAATATTCATTATTTAAGTTATTTTTAATGCATATAAACATTCAAGGACAATGGAAAAAAAGCAAAAAAGAAAACATTATATGGATATGGTCAGGTCCATCACCAATTTGTAACATAGATCAATGGGAAGATTTCTGTCAAATAAAAGTGTTACTTCATGTTTCGCATCGAAATATAGAACAATTGAATGGCAACGAAAATATAACATGAAGCATAATTTTTGGTCAACACATTGACACAATAAATCATGATCTAAGTGACATGCTTGAAAATCATATAGATCAAGAAGAGGAGATTAGTGACGATAATAGTCAAGGTGAGATGGAAGAAAAAGAAGATAATGAAGAGTTTCGGTATGATTGGATGCATCTAGTGGAAATAGGCCTAAAGTCAAGAATAAGCAGTAGTTATGACCTAGGTTTTCATGATATGGATTGTAATCACAACTGGACAATAGATGCCTAGCAGAATTATTCCAATGATGATATTGCAAATGTAAGTGATTTATGCAATAAAATGCAAAAAATAGGAAAATCAGAGCCATTGATACTAAGTTAATCAACTACCATAAACTAAACGAAAAGTAAAGAATAATATAAAAATGAATAGAAATACACTATACCAATATAATCACGGGAAATCCAGTAGAACCATTAAGAATGATAATAATGGGTACCGCAGGGACAGGTAAATCTTATCTCATTATGATAATACAAATGAGACTAAACATAATAGCAGGACAATCGGAACCACCTATACAAATAGTTGCGCTAACGGAAGTTGCAGTATTCAACATAAACAGAATGACAATCTACTCAAAGTTATCTGTACCAATACTCAATAATAAAAACTTTGAGTTAGATGGCAATAGAATTAAGGAACTACAAGAAAAATTAAAAATGTAACTTACTTTATTATCAATAAGAAAGCATGGTAGGATGTCGAATGCTAACCTTAATCGATATGAGGTTAAGACAAGCATTTCCCGAAAATAAAAATGAGCATTTGGGAGATGATCCATTATACTATTCGGCGATTTTGGTCAACTCCTACCAGTCCTTGACCTACTCTTATACGCTAATAATATATTGCATGATACAAAATCAAACGATGGTATATCAGCATACAAACAATTTAGGGAAGTGTATAAGCTCGACATCATACAAAGGCAATTGGGGATAGTAAAGAGCAAAAGATCTTTCGAGATATACTTCTAAGATTATGCGAAGAAGAGAGTGACCTAAACGATTAGTAGAAACTTGGCAACAGATTTGAAGAAAAGCTGAAGCGAACAGAATGAGACAGATTTTCAGACGCTGTTTCAATACAAACTATGTGGATGAAGTAGATAAAGTTAATATAAATATGCTTCAATTCTTGGACCAGCCAGTAGGCAAAATTATTGCATTACATACAAGTGGAAAAAAAACCAAAAGAGCTAATTCAGAAGTGGCGAAGAGACTAGAAGCCGAATTGCTACTGGCAAAAGGGCACATATAATGCTAATCACAAATTTATAGACTGAAGCTGGATTAGTAAATAGGGCAATGGGAACAATAAAAGTCATTATGTACAAGGAACAGGAATCACCTTCGCTTTCATCAGCTGTTTTCGTAAAATTTAACACATACGAAGGAAGTATTATTACGATATCAAAAGGAGACAAAGTGGTTCCCATTGTGGCAATAAAAAGAAACTGGAAAAATAAGAGTGGGATACCATATTCTAGGTTGCAAATCCTATATGTCTCGTGTGAGCCATTACAGTCCACAAGAGTTAGGGGCTTATGATATTAAAGGCTAGAATCGATATCAGAAATAAAGCATTCGCAGCTGAACTTTTATTTATCATGATGTTCCAAGTTCGTTCACTCAGCGATATAATCTTTAAGCAGTTCTCTTTTGACAGGCTTTAACGTATCAAGTAAGGTAAAAGATTACAAGAACGTAAGGTAGAAGAAGCGCATCTGCTTAGAATGATACCTCACACAGATGAGGATATTGTGTAAAAAATAACAAAAGCAATAAATTTATTTTTTTTTATTTTTATTTTTTATTTTTTTTTGTATACATCAAGTAATCTAAATATGTACACATAAATAGTACAGTAATGCTAAATGCGGACAAACTAAAAAATAATACTAAATGCTTAATTATTATTACACAAATCAATCAGAATCGACTCATATTTTGAGCGGGCAGACATCAGGACATTTTTGTGTTATGCAGTCTAGACCATATATAGTCCTTCACTTCGCTCTGGACTAATAATCAATATAGATTAAATCAAAAACTTAATTACATTTAAATCAATGCTAAAAATGTATTTAATTGGATTTTTTGATGAATTATTTATTAGAACTAATCCTAATAAATACAAAATAAGTAGATTAAACTATAAGAAAATATATATTGTAATTGTTTTGATGATCTTTATCAGATAAAATTTCATACTAAAAATATGGAATTTAATGAATTTAACTAATAAGAAATAAAATTTTATTGTTATATGGGGTGAGTGCTAGGAAAATGGACCAAATTGATTTTTTTTTTAAAAAAAAGTTTCTAAGTAAAATAGATGTAGATTAGGTCATCTGATTCAGATCATTTGTTATTTCAAAAAAAAAAATTTTTGTCGATTTGGTCCCTTTTCCCAGCACTCACCCCAAATATTCTCTGGCTAAATTTGGTATTAAAGGATATTGGTGTATATGCTTATCTATAATTTCCTAAATCTTTTTACGCAATTCTTTTGGGCAAATCCTTTCTGACCTTGTTGTTCTATTGTTGGTACAAATGTTGTTTTAATAAAAGAAAATTTTCCATGTGCAATAAGTGAATTATATATAATTTATTGGGCCTTTTTGGAATCTTTTAATTTTGCCATTGGCATAACTGAATTTTGTACTTAGCTATGCATGTTGTGCAGCAGAAATTTGGGCGAAATCCTTATTTGTCAGAAAAAATTCTGGCTCTATATTTTGCGAAGTCTAATTTCTATTAAAAGGTCACTATAGTGACTGTTCTTATCAATCCATTGCAATTTTATTGTTTCAAGAAATAAATAGGCTAAATCCAGTACCTTTGAACTTCTGCATGGAAATCATAAAGCTCAAATTTCAGATTATTTGTGTTATCTAAATAAATAGAATAATAAAAAACTATAGTAATTATGATTAACAAATTTTATATTAGATTCATTAGTGTTAGTATTACAAGTAATATCGATCCCGCATTCATACAGATGAATTTTATTTTTTCAATTATCCTCTCTATACCCATCATAAAGCTAATAGCTTGCTTGTATTGGAGATTCTGAGTAATATATGATTTCAAAATTATTTTCTTCAAGCTATTTTTTCGCTGAAATAAATGCATTCTCATCACGTTTATAAAAATCAACCATGCATTTTGACCACCAAAAATATATTTGTTTTTAACACATTAATAAATCCATTCCATTCGAAACAAATTTAGCATAGATTTCATGAGGCAGAAGATTGATGTTATCTTTAATGAAACCTTTAAAATCTGGTACAGAATGGTTTGAAGGAGAAGGGTGAAGTTGTCTGTGAACTTGAAAGATCTTTTACCGTTATATCAATAGTAATACTAAGCGTTCTATTGCATTCAAATCGTTGCCTTGATGATGTATCACGTTGACGATTAAGATCTGGAGATTTGTTCGTTGAGAACAGAAATTCATATTCTTGATGAAAACTTGAAAATGCTAATATTTTTAGTATCTTTATTTATAACAAGTAATGCAAATTTGGTGATTACTTACTTCCAAGAATATTCGTCTAAATCGGAATTTTTCTTTGTAATTTCATTAGCAGTTTCCTTTGGTAATTCATCGAATTAGAAAGAATTAACAGTACATGCTATCAATCATCTATATTTCTTTATTCTCTTCATTTTTGGAAAATTCTTCCAGTTGTTCCGAATAAAAGTCAAGAAATTCATCAAAATTGGTAAATTGTGGTACAGGTTCAATGTCTTTGGTCTCTTGTGGGCGTTTTGATTTTTGTGATTGTTTTGTATGACAGTAAATGCAAGTGAGAAATTGCTTACTATCTTATAGTGAAGATAAAGTTCAATAGATAAACTTTTATAACAACCAGTACACATTATTGCAACTTATCGATATCGTTATTTTGCTCTTGCTCTTAAGAGAGAGTCCATTTATTAAAACTATTAAATACAATAGCTATACACGTAAGTTTATAATAAAAAACATGTAAATCAAACTGTAAAAAATTACAAGTTTATAGTTTCAATAAGAATAAGTGCGATCTATATGATAGTTTCTTTCAAAACTCTTTCGCGATATTTTTTGAATAGGAGATAACGATAATATTAAATATTAATATTTGTAACACAAATTAATAAACGTGTCTGATGAGTAATGAGGCTGATGCAGCACAAAATATCACGTGCCGATGATTTTTTTGGTGGTTACGTTGGGGAAATCCAGGCAATCTCAGCTAAGAACTTGTCTCTCAATGAATCAGTTGATTGCATGTTCGATGATAATTTTTTATATGAGATGGAATAATTCAAAATTTCGTTAGCATAGATAAAAATTGAGGTGATATCCTCATCGGAACTGATTTATTGATGTAAAAATAAATTACAAGATTCGGTAAATACATAAACTTGTTTTATGGCGTTTCTATACTAATGCCTAAGCTATCTATATACTAACACATCCCAACATTAACTCTAATCTGTCAGCATCGAAATTCGGGATAGAATAAAATGGTAATCAGTTATGCGTAGAACATGACGAGTCAGAAATAAATTAACAGTATTGATCTTTACCAAAAGTTTATGTTCTCCGCTTAATAAGGTCTTCGAAATTTTTGAACAAAAAATAGATATTAGCTTTGCAATCTCTGAAAATATATTTCATTCATACCTTAATTACGAAATGGCTCGTCCGTACTTTAATAATTTTTTCGTCAACACTTCTTTCAAACTACGATATGTCGGTTTCTTTTAAGCGAGTCCATAACGTTTAGGCTCAGAGAAAATAATAAAACGGCTTTAGAAAAAAGTTATTAACTAACGTTACTGCGCTTTATTAATTTAAAAAAGCACTGATTAGTCAAATACGGACGGACATCGTACGACCTAAAATTACGTAATATAATTCATCTTTTTTAATAAATACCGCTGAGAATCATTCTCGCAAATCGAATTAATCATTTTTTTTTTTCATGTACTGATAAATTGCCTTTTTTACTATGCTTATTAATTTTGGTCGAAGTATCTATATTCTTTGCTGTATTACGTCACTACAAGCCATGCAAGAGTCTATGTCACGAGTTATTCAGAAAGTATATAATCTTCCTCCTTTTATTTTATAAACAAACTTAAAAGATAATTTCCTGTCACTGTAAATTCTAAATTCAAAATTTCCTCGGATATACCCTCGACATATAACGCGACAATCATGAATGATCCAAGTACTAGCCAAATGCAGAATGTATTGAAGGATAGGATTAAAGACTTAAAAAACGAAACTTCTGACCTTATGAAAGAAATTGTAGGATATATCGATGACGGAAATATGAACGAATGTTTAAGAAACTTAGGAAATTTAGAGGATACGCTAAAGAATACTTATGAGTTAGTGGACAGACTCTCTGACCGTATAGATGAGTTAGAGCGGAATGTGAATGAGCTAAAACAGGAATTAAACAAGTTGAAGGATCAAGTAAAATATGTGAAATTTTTTGCTGATTATCGAGATTGGGCAAAAATATTTATGCAATTGTTAATAGAAAAGCTAGGAGGAACAGATAACTGGCATAAGGCGGAAACTGGTCTTCATTATCGCAATCGTAACGAGCCAATGACAGAGAAGGAATCTGAATGTGTCGAACGATTAACGAACTTATTAAAAGAAGATACAGATATTGGATTGGGTTTCACTGATATAAAGTTATTATTAGAAGTGAGAGATACTAGTAATATTATGTTTCATAAGAACAATCAAACTTCGAGAGAAGCTGAAATGAAACTTTATGCTGAAACACTTCCTGATAACTTAAAGATATATAAACCACCATTGAAGAAGGCCTTTAAGACAATTAGTAGATGGCGCTCATCTTAATTTTGAATTTCAGGAAAGTGAATATTTCAATGTATTTGAATCGCTTGTTTGGCTTTGATGAATTTGTAGTAGATATACCAAAAGGTTAAAAGGTTATTTAGTTTTTTACTTAAATCATTGGCAATGCAAAGTATATTAGCTTAATCTGTTTAATGTATTAAAATTAAAATTACAAAGAAAATACTTTTTTATATTTGCGTTAAGAAAATTTGATCATAGTTACATATTGTGCAATAAATGTTGCTTCTTGCAATACTGTATATGAAATAAAGTAACTCACATACTATCTCTATATCTGATATAATTATGTTTTCACGTCTTTACCTGCTATACTTTATCAGGGAACTTAAGAGCGTAACTCCAAAGGATAGACTGATCTAGGATTGTGTTCTCAGAATATGCTTCTAATATGAAGTTCCCGGACTTCCCGGTGCCTTGATATTATCACAAGTCAAATAACTTTTTTTATTTTCTTGACTATAGATCCACCATTCACAAATCAGATCCTCATGATATTTTTTGTATAAAGGTGAGCAAAGTTTCTGTAAATGTCTACTTGATGCTCATCTTCTTTTACCATGCCAAAGATTAAATATAAGCATAAATCGGCTCTTTGAAGTTGATTTACTAACAAACTAATAACCTCTGCATATGTCACTCTCGGAAATTGACTGCGTCTAAAATTGGATTTCTGCAGTCCTGACGATCAATTTGCTGACAATTCTGACATAATATAAATTTTTTCAGTGAATGTATGTACAGTATCTGGATATTTTTTACTTAGTAATTGATATATAATTTGAGCTCCCATATCAGTTGGAATTGAATATATATGTCAAAATGACCGTTTTTGACATAACGAAGCGATCAATAAGCATTATTGTCAGTCAAGCCGCAATAATTAGTAATCCTGCCAAGAATTCTATAACTAAGCCATGGGAAGGGAATTTATTATATAAAGAAGGGTTTTTCGTCTTGCTTCTAGATTAGAATTAGATAGTTTTCTTTCTCTTAGGGTCTATTACAGAGCATCGGCAGAGGCAGTAATAGTTGCATTTATTGTATTTACTTTACATTTATCTAATAAAATTATATCCTTTATTTTTACTTCAATAAAACTTTATTTAAATTCTTTCGAATTTGATTTACATACATATTCGTTATAATACATTGTGTTCTCTAAATTACCTAACAAACTATAGTTGCTTGACGAAACCTCAGAGTATTGACAACTGTCGAATGTCAAAACCTATTTAGACGTTTTGACTTTTTATTTTTAAAAGTCGAAACTGTCGAAAGGTTTAGACAATAAATAATGTTGA